GCATGCGCGCGCACCGTGTTAGGCGTGCAGTGCCGTCAGAGGCAAACTTCATAATATTGCTTGCTGAGGGGGGAGGGGATGGGAGACTGAGGAAAGGCGACAGAGAAAATAGTTGGGGGCGGGAGAAGAAGGAGAAGGCTGAACGAGGGACAGGAGAGACAAGGGGAAGGACGCGAGCGCATAAAGTAGGTGTTTTGTACCCTACATGCTAGGGCGCTCTCCTAATTATAAACAAGGTCTACTGATAAAGGGTCATTGGGGAAATCTAGGCGGAGATACCCCCTAACCATTTTAAATGCATATTCATCACAAAATATAACTCCTCTTGTGATATATTGCGCATGCGCTAACCCACCAACATAGCCAGATTGTGTACTGGCTGGTATACGCAGCCGGGACCTTACATGCAAGGTATTCCTCCTATTTCTTAAATGATGTCTACAGAAGGAATGTTATCACAGAAATCTATGCTAGGATAACTCCTCTTCATTTCAAATGCATAATCTTTGCAAAATACGATTGCTCTCGGGAGATATTGCGCATGCGCGCGCACCGTGTTAGGCGTGCAGTGCCGTCAGAGGCAAACTTCATAATATTGCTTGCTGAGGGGGGAGGGGATGGGAGACTGAGGAAAGGCGGCAGAGAAGATAGTTTGGGGCGGGAGAAGAAGGAGAAGGCTGAGCGAGGGATCGGAGGAGGCAGGAGGCAAGGACGCGAGCGGCATAAGAATAGGTGTTTTGTACCCATACATGCATAGGCGCTCTCCTAATTATAAACAGTCTACTCGATAAAGGGTTATTGGGAAATCTTAGGCGGAGAGATAGCCCTAACTATTTTAAAATCATATTCTATCACAAAATATAAACTCCTCTTGGTGAGATATTGCGTATGCGCTAACACACTAACACTCGCCTCCTTCCCTCCCTCCCCCCCTTTTTTTTCTCTCTCTCACACACACACACACTTTCTTGGACTAGTAATTCAGACGTATTCCTTTCTAATGGGCGAAGCACCAAGCATTACTTTAGCTACTGTTTAATCTTAATAAACTGCGATAAAAACTAAAGAAATTTGCGACGTTTTTGAATTTTCATAAATTGTATAATTTGAACTCTCAAGTGTCTAACAGATGGCGTTACCAGCCACACGTAAGCGTCTGCTCATGCTTAGCAGGCGGGAAATCGAGTTACTCCAGCAGCCAGTGTAGTTAGAGGAGCCTTGTCTAATCTACTGTGCACTCGGGAAAATTGAAATCTGTGTCAACAGCCTCTAGCTCTAGGAATAATGGGTAGACATTGGTTTAATATATTTATGAATAATTCTAAAAGAAGAAGTAGTGCGCGTGAAATACGTAAGAAATGGAATTGTATTCGAGTAATTGGTGTTCATCACTAGGGCCTACATTCATTTTTTTAACACTACCTACCGTAACTAGTACGTCTTTAGCGTAGGGTTACAACATAATCTTACAGTTACACCACGAAAGAATGATTGATACTGTCTTTACTGATAGTGATAGTGATCGTAATGATGATAAGATTGATTTCAGTCGTCCGTTTATGATATAGACAGTTCGTTAAAACTGCTTATTGTTGTAACATCTCAGCATCCAAGGAAGATACCAAATTAAAGGCAACGAGGCCTGTGCTTGCAACAACTGGTAATGAAGGTAAGGCGAAAAGAAAAAGGAAAGCAAAGGATCCAAATGCACCGAAGAGAGGCTCTAGTGCCTATCTGTTCTTCATGAAGGCGTTCCGTGAGCAGCTGGCCAGTGAAGGAACAAAGATGTCATCGGTAAGTCACGCATTAGTCTAGACATTGGCATTAACTTCTAATTATAGATTCTAGATTGACTTCTAACCAATCCCACTTGCATACGCTTCATCATACTCGAATACTGAATATTCTGTCGCTATCAAAAGAACACATTGTGTGGCGGTAGCTCACTCTTTCTGGATGTAATACTAGAACACTAATAACATGGACATATGTATACTCTGTTCATGATATACGGTAACATGATATATCAAATACATTTGCTTCTATGTAGAATATAGAACTGGTAGTGGCAGTAGTTCTTCCCCCAGCACAAGTTGCGCAGGTTCAATTCAACTGTTCAATTAACACACCTACTAGTGCTCATAGGGTTTATGTCCCCCAGGGTACTGCCGGAATGTAGCCTAGCTGGGTACGGTCCGGTATACCGGAACGTTAACCTGGTAACTATCTGATATGGTTAGGGTTAGGGTTAAGGTTAGGAAGTAGGCGTAGGCGACTATACCTAGACTCGTTAGTGGAGTAGGCGAGATACGGTCCGGCACATTAGATAGTACCAGGGTACGTTCCGGCAGTACCTTGGGGGGCATAGTCCCCCTCAGCCCTACTAGTCTATATATTCTACTACACACGTGCACTAATTCTAAGCTAAACATCTGCTAGAGTATCTCAGGTTTCAATGTGTTTCCGGTATAGGCAGTTATCACGGGTGCTTTAGCTGTGTACACACACACACAGGTGCGTAATTGGCATGTATGAAAATCTGCATTCATTGTCAGATGACAGAGCTGACGAAGGTGGCGGCGGAGAAGTGGTCGAAACTAAGCGAAGAGCAGAAGAAGCCGTTCAGTGATCAGGCAGCAAAGGATAAAGCACGCTACCAGGAAGAGGTGCCATTTTGTATCTGACTTACATCTATCATTTCTAACGCAATAGCAGTTAGCATGTTATGTAATACTCTTGTGTATTCAGCCTGTTGTCAGATTTAACTGCCTTGTCGGGAAATGATTAATATATATATATATCAGTTGGAAATAAGTCTGTAATCCCAGCCTGACCTGTTAAAGAATATTTGAAGTTTTACTATGTAACCTATAGTAAACCCATCCTGCTAAAAAGCTACCCATCCTGAACTGAAGGATGAGCTGCTATTAATATTTCTAATACTATTTTTGTAAGCATTCTCTAAGTGAAACCTTGTATCGTACCATGCAGCAACAATGCAGTTCATGCTAATTTGTTTATCATGTGTTTACAGATGAAGTTGTACCGGCCAAGCAGGGACCCAAATAAGCCAAAGCGTCCGTTGTCGGCATATTTCCGATTCATGGCCGAGTTTAGAAAACAGGTGGCTGACAAAGGCATGTCAGTGACTGATATTGCAAAGCTTGGTGAGTATAACAGGTTAATTTGACAGTAATCTGTGTTAGATCTACTAATACATAACTGTGCAGGAATAAAAATATTATATA